ATATATAATAATAATAATAATAAATTGATTTTGTACATATGTATAGTGATTAAATAAAACATGAAAGATGATCGTGTAAAGAACATAATAGTACACATTTGTTTGTGATTGATATTTCAAAATTACGTGATTAATATTAAATGTCATAAAAACTTTTATTAATTTAACATTGGAATAGTATAATTATTTTTTAAACATAATCTCAGATACCACGTATCCGCAACCTCCAGAGCGCGGACCCGCAGGAAAAGGAAAACTTTGAAAAGGTAAAATTATACCTTTATGAACCATTCAACGTTTAGTAACTTAAATATCTAATCCTAGATATTTAAATCAATTCTTTCATTCATACACATTCGCCCACATATACACACACACACACACACACACACACACACACACACACGAGGCGTTCTTGCTTTCTTTACAATTAAAATTGGTAAGTTTTTTGCGAGGTACAAGTATTTTATATATTTATTTAAAAATGTTATTGATTAAAAGTAAAAAAAAAACGAAAATTTATTTTTAATTTATAGTGCATAAAATATGAATAATCCTTGTTAATCATGTAAAATAATAATTCAAATTATATTTACAAATTGCGTTGTGATAAATTATTGGTAACCGTTTTTGGGAAATCTTTGGGTACCTTTTGGCATTTGGATTGGAACGTCCTGTCATCTATCATTGTTGCACTATGATCTGGATTATAAGGTTTTGCAGAATGCTGTTGTCAAAGTGGTTATACCAACAGAAAGGTATTTGTTGATTTTAATATATAACGACAGATCTTGTAAGTATGTAATTATGAAGAATATTTAGGCTTCTGTTGTGAATAAAATAATTTGTGTCAATGGGCATTGACACAAAAAATACACATACATACTTAATTGAGTTGCGTTATAGGAATTTAGTCATGTTAATACATAGAATGGTGGAATTTGTAATTCGAGAAGGACCAATGTTTGAAGCAATGATTATGAACAGAGAATTGAACAATCCAATGTTCAGGTATATATCTTATTATGTATAATATATGCATCTTTATCTACATGCAACTAAACTAACAGAAACATTTTTATTAGTATAACTCCAACATGTAAAATTATTCAATTAAAATGTATTAGAAGTTGAGAGCCAATGCTGGGTATAAATTGCTGAAGTCTATATTTGAACTGTGTGGTTGTAAATGACTTGGATTATATAATTTAAAAATTATTTAACATTTATAAATATTTTATTCACTGTTTAGTTAGTTAGATATAAGCCGTTAGCTATGTTTATCAAGTGATATATTATTAACATTGAAAATGACATAATAAGTTTTAATGTTTATTTAGAATTATATGTAACTTCAAATATAAAATTTACATCCAACATTGGCTCTCAGATCCTAATACATTTTAATTGAATAAAGAAACATTTTCAATTTTAGATTTCTATTTGAAAATTATTCTCCTGCACATACTTATTATCGCTGGAAATTATACTCCATTCTACAAGGAGATGTGCAAAAAGAATGGCGCACAGAAGATTTTAGAATGTTTAAAGGTGGAAGTGTATGGAGACCACCACCGATTAATCCTTGGACGCAGGGTATGCCAGATGAATTGATAGAAATGGAAGAAAGGCAAGAACCCAGGAGAGGTAGTCTCTCAAATAGGTAACAACAAAAAATAGTAAAAGATTATTCATCAAGATAAGATGTCCAAAGATATAATTAAGCCACATTATCTTGTGAAAAAATATATTAAAAGATAATTATATATACTTCGTGAAAAATGTATGTTAATTGTTTGAAAAATATTTTTTTCATAGTCAACGAGATCGCTTAGAAGATTTATTGCGAAACATATCACCTGAAAGAATAAAAGTTGCAGAAGCAATGGTGTTTTGTATAGAACATGCAGAAGCAGCAGAGGAGATTTGTGATTGTATTTCAGAGTCATTATCAATACTGCAAACTCCTGTAAATAAAAAAATTGCAAGATTGTATTTGATATCTGACATATTACATAATTGCGGAGTCAAAGTGACCAATGCCACTATTTATAGAAAGGCGTAAGATATATATATGATATATAGATATATATAATGTAGATATATATATATATATATATATGTATGTGTGTGTGTATGATATACATATGTATATGTGTGTATTTATGTCACATGCTTATCTTTATTTTTTTTTATTTAAAAGAAAAAATATACATCAAAATAAAAAATGCATACGATATTAATTTCATATTCATTTATTTTACAGATTTGAAACGCGTCTTTTGGATATTTTTAATGAAGTTCATCAAGCGTATAAACAGTTTGACAGTAGATTGAAGGCAGAAGGATTCAAAGTCCGTGTTATGCGAATGTTCAGAGCATGGGAAGATTGGGCAGTGTATCCAAGAGATTTTCTCGTTAAGTTACAGAATACTTTCTTGGGTCTTGTTTTGGTAAATTTTTATTTAACAGTAATATTTTTATGGTTTTAGATTTTGTGATATGATATCTAATACTCTAATTTCTTTTTTAGATGGATGAACCTGAGCCTGAGAACGATGAAGACATCGACGGTGCACCATTGTCTGATGTTGATGGCGATGGTACTGAAGATTTGGACGGAGTACCACTTGATGGTGCAGCTTTATTAAAAGGTGCCATGAAACATGGTCTCACATCTCAGACAACTTCAAATTATGATGATATTGACGGAGTGCCTAGTAAATATGCGTTCCTAAACACATTCATAATTTTGTATATTAATAAATAATAGAGCCCGATCGAAACTTTTATCGAAACTGAAAACGAATACTCATTACGTGTCAGTTTCGACTGAGATCATATAGCTCTTCTTCATAAATATGAATCCTTACCCTGCTAAAGGGGTGAAAGGGAGGAGGATCATTAGTTATCGAGCGATTCCTGTTCGTGCAAGTTTCTTTGCGTCTTTCGATAATTATAAATTATACTACATTTTATTACATTTACTATATTTACTACATTTTATTTTCCAAAATAAAGTGCTTATATTTATTCTAGAAAGTTGAAAGTATGTTGGTGAATTTTTAGAGATTTTTTTAATCATTCTGAATAGATGAAAAAAACGTACAGATTCTAGTGCCCTAATATGAAGGCATGAAATTCTATCTAATAGGATTAATTTTAATATGTGTAATTGTTTCAATAATTAAATTATGATGTTTATGAAGAAGAAGTGTTTATATTCTTCGATCAAAATTGAACATACAACCGAAATTTCGGTTTTTGATTTCGGAAATTTAATTACTGTTTCAATAAATTGATATTTATGAAAAAAAATATGATATATGATTACGTCATATGACCTTTATAGGATTCCTATTTTTTTAATTTTGGTTTCGGTTGAAATTGATTTGTAGCCGAGCTGTTTCGGTTCAGTTTCGACAAAAATTTCGGTCGGATTCTAATAAATAACAATGTACAAACACATTTATGTGCGCGCGCGCGTGCATACATAACATACATACATGTATATTTGCGTAGTGGATGAAGATATCGATGGTGTCCCAATGGACGATGACGATAGCGCAAACACACGAAATAAGGATGACGAAAAAAAATCAACAATGCCAGCTGGATTTGTTCCTTCACGATGGGAAACCGTTGATCCTGATCAGGTTTTCAGAATATTTTTTTCTCAGTAAATAATTGATATCTTCTCGTTCATATCTTGTTGACACAATTTTTTCATCAGGTCGAGGCACAGGCAATGACTACCAGTAAATGGGAAGAATTAGGTCAAAATGAAGATTCCAATTCTCAAGATACTAGTATGGATTCCAGGTAAAATTTTTATAATAACAATTGCATTGATAATGTATTTTTGTTAATATGTTTACGTAAAAATGTATATTTGTAAAAATTACTTAACGCAGTGGTAGAGATTATAATGAAGAAAGGCGAAACAGACTACGTGAGATTGAGGTAAAAATCATGCAGTATCAAGATGAGTTAGAAAGTGGTAGAAGAACTTTAAAGTCTGGTATGACAATACAGGCACAAGTAGAACATTATAGAAAGAAACTTATAAGAAAGGTAGGAAATATATTTATTCATTCCGATATACAAATAATTATATTACACATGTACATAATGTGTACATTTCTATAGAGTGAAAGGGAAATGAAGGACGTAAAAAGTGAAGAACGAGATGATGAAAAACGAAGAGAGAAGAAACGAAGCCGAAGTACGACACCGGAATCTCCTAGTCACAGTTACAGAGATCGAAGGCGATCGTCAAGCCCATCAGCAAAAGTTACAAGATATAGGTAAAAACTTAGGGTAGTATTCATAATCCGTTCTTATTTTAAGACTGTGTTAAATAATATCTTAAAATGCTAATATAGCCTTCTAATTGCCTATGATGTCTTAAGATCTACTTAAAACAGTCTCAAATATAAGAATCGACTATGAATATCGATCTATACATTTTTATTGTGCAATATTTGGTATTTAAACGATATTCAAATCAATATTATTCAATCTAGAGTTCTATTGCAATTTTCAACTGATATTCTTATATAGTCTATATGTAACTTGAAAGCACACTGTTTAATTTTTCATGCATTATGTGTGAAATAATTACACGTTGTCATTTATTTGTACTCGTAATATATATTTTTAGATCACGCAGTAGATCGCCGCGCTGCAAACGCAGATCAAGATCTCCGTATAAAAAACGCGTACCAGTTACCCCGTCCCCTCCTCGTATTCGACGTACGCCATCGCCTTCCTTTTCTTCAGGCAGAGGATCACGCAGATCACCCGCTAATGAGCGGTGTGATAGGAAAAGACGTAGATCACCATCTTTGTCACCCCCACCGCCTCCACGTACTTCCTCTAAACATAGAGCTTGTAGTCCGCCTTCCCCTTCTCCACGTAAACACAGACATAAGCATAAATATTGAATCATAATATGCCATTGCACGAATTATCTTTTCCACAGGATACTATTTTTTAGAAATTTTTTTAGATCTCACATTTATTATTTTACGATATGCCACATTCGTAGATATAAATTAATGTGAGACTGAAAATGTGAAGATTAAGATTTCGACGATTTTTCGAATTTTTCTCGATATGATTAATTCGCCTATATTTTCAGAAAATATAAATTTCTCATTGCTTTATTATCTCTAAGTAAAATTATTTTTTCTATAAAATATATTTTGTGTTGAATAACAGAAAACAATTAAACAGTCATAACAGCGCGCATTACATAGAATTATAAGACAGCATGATATAACGTAAGCAATATTTTATTGATTACCGAAACTCACGCGCATCGCATGTGATGGGAACGCAGGGCAGGTATCATTTTTTAAATATACACTTTAAAGACGAACAGAGATTGTATATATTAATTACAGAATAAAGGTAGAAAATGGTCTTCTTTAAGTTTATGCAAAAAATATAACTTCTTTATCTAATAGAAATGAAAATATTTCAAAATTGAATAAAATAATCTTATATGTATTTAAAAAAATTGTTTTCTTGCATTATGAACGTTTCGAATAAATTTTATATAAAACAATATTTATCGTATCATTTTTGTTTTACGTCCTTTAATCTTTTTACAAGAAATATATTAATTATATGCTTTGCACTTTATTATATATCGCCACAATTTACTTAATTATCATATTTAATTTTAAATCAATTTTTTAATATTGTATAAAGCATACCTATATCCTTTTTTTAATCAATTCAATTTGTATGTATGCTAAATCAGTCATCTTTGTACATAAAAGTTTAATGTCTTTGATAAAAATTATATGTATATATTAATTGAGCTTTAATAAAGTTAAGATATTTCAAATCTTAACATTCTTTATGTATAACAAACAAAAATGAAAACAATTAAGTTAAAGATAAATTAAAGAAAGAGAGAATAAATTATAATTTTTCTATGAGTATGATATTGATTATCAAGTATAA